ACTCTCACAAAGGGAAAAAAACATATAGAACAGTTGGGTCTTGGTAGATGACTACATTTCAGTAGAAAATATAGGATTTTCTAGGAGATACAAACATTTACTACAAAAACTTATAAACGTTTACATTATACATTTACAAATATTTTTCTTCAACATATACAAACAAATAACACTAAAGTACTTATGAACTCACCAGCTAATCCTGATCAGCTCTTTCAAAATAACTTGTATTCTCAGGTCACCAGTAGACAGGTATAGATGGCCAGATTTTTGAGAAGACGGAGGACATTCAGGACTCGTCTTTATTTTTATTATTCATTTTTGGTGTCTTATATCATTAACACAGAACACTTGTATTGAATTATACTATTAATGAAATGGATGATGTTCTTGCTTGTTTACTATTATGCATTGTTATGATACTGTACATGACGTCCTCGGCTCCAGAACGTTTCTGCCGGTCCGGTTTTGGGGTGTAACATAATACTTTTGTGACTTTTACTCCTAAAGAAGTAACATACATAATGGATATGTAAAGATTTCTTAAAGCTTTAGTTTTGGTTATTTGACTTCCATCCCCGCATCCTCATTTAAGTAATTTTAAATAATATGTTTTCTCGCGGACAAGGTTATTTTTGTCATTTCACCCTCTTCTCTTTCATAAAATCGAACATTCCTCTTTGGTCCCCCACTAATCCCCCGGAATCCTCTTTGACAAACATATTTGTGACAACCGTCAAATTCTGGTCAATTCAAAGTCAAATAAAGTCAACAAGTCAAACCGATCAGCTCAACTAACCCTTGTGTACTTGGACTTACGTTCAGTATTTACTAAACAACTCACTATTCTGATAAGAAAACATAAATCGAAAAGTAGTTACAACTAGATCTCTTTAACCTAAAAACTGTAGTACGTGGCGAGCCAAACCGATAAAACAATGATGCTTACTCATCGGGAGTGTGTAAGATCCTTAAACGAGGCTTAACAGGGTTTACGAACCATGCATTGTGATGTCGGACACTTACAACTGTCCCACACGGAACCTCTCTCAATCGTTTTCACTCTATCTCTCTCTATGTCAAATCTCTCCCAAATCTCTCCAAGTATGTGAAATCTCTCTCAAATATCTCTCGGTAATAGAAATCTCTCCAAGAATGTCAAATCTCTCCCAAATCCCTCTAAGCATGTGAAATCTCTCTCAAATATCTCTCTGTATGAGAAATCTCTCCAAGAATGTCAAATCTCTCCCAAATCTCTCCAAGTATGTGAAATCTCTCTCAAATATCTCTCTGTATGAGAAATCCCTCCAAGAATGTCAAATCTCTCCCAAATCCCTCTAAGCATGTGAAATCTCTCTCAAATATCTCTCTGTATGAGAAATCCCTCCAAGAATGTCAAATCTCTCCCAAATCTCTCCAAGTATGTGAAACCTCTCTCAAATATCTCTTTGTATGAGAAATCTCTCCAAGAATGTCAAATCTCTCCCAAATCTCTCCAAGTGTGAGAAATCTCTGCCAAATCTCTCTCAAAAAGTTTCCCGTAGCTTTTTGGAATCATTCGGGTCATTCCGACCCTTAACCGGGTCAAAAACGGCTCAAAACGAGGCGAAAACGAGAAAAATAGGCTTTAGGAACCGAAACCAAGAGAGAAGCTTCTTAGGACCCGAAGGTCCTCTTAGGGACTGAGAGCAAGAGGAGCCGAACCGAACCCTCCTGAACCGAACCGAACCCTCCTGAGCCGAACCGAACCCGAAGGTACTGTTCACCACTAACCGAAACCGAACCCTGCTCAAGAGGAACCGAACCGAACCTCGCCCTGGAAGAACCGAACCGAAGGTACTGTTCACTACAGTTCGTTCGGTTCTGACTTCTCGCCTTTCATCGCCGGACCGAACCCTCGCCTTCGCCTCTCACTTCCGGTTCGCGCCTTCTTGTTTCTCACCTCCTCGTCCCTTCGTTTCCCTTTGTTCATTTCCGGCTACAATCCTCAGCATGGACCGAGTCTCGGCCTAGGGACCGAACCTCGGCCTAGGACCGAGAGGTCTCGCTGGGAACTCATTTTCTCCCGGTTTTCGCGTAGTTTTGCGTTTAAGGCCCGTTTTTAATTATTTTAACGTGGGAATTTCACACAAAATCATATTTTAACATAATAAACCCTAAATATTCACAATTTAATCATATTTTCATAAAAATCTTTATTTAAATAATGAAAGCAAGTGGGTAAAGTACAAAGAGGTGGAGTGTTGACTTTGCTTTACCTTATAACACAAGCAACCACTCCCACACCCACTCTATGACCAGCCACACCTCCCCACCTTACCTAGGTCACATCAATGTCCTTTCCACTCAATTATCACTCTTTCCCACGTTTTTGAGAGCTGAATATTCATCCTCTCTCCTCACTTCTCTCATTTGCTCTCATTTCACAAGAAGATCAAACTCTTTCCTCTCTCACTTTCTCTCTCTAGAAATTCGAGATTCAAGGGCTGATCTTGAGTTTTTCCTCCATATTTGGTAAGCATAATCCATTCTCTTTATGATTATCTCACTTATTTCCACTCAAATCATGGATATCTTAAACAAACTCTCTCATAATTGTTTTAGATCTTCGAATCTTCAAGTGATTCTTCAAGTGTTCTTGGGTTGAACACTTCTCTTCTTCAACACTTACCCACTGAAATCACTTAAGGTGAGTCCATACCCCTACATTTTCATGTTTTCTCAAGTTTTCAAGGGGGGAATACAAGTTAAAACATCAAGAACATAACTAAATATTTCTAACAGCCTTCATCAGAAAAGTTCAACTCCATTCACGGACTGTTTTGGGCATCTTAAACATTTTTGTTTTCAAAACTCTAAAAGGTGCAAATAGTTCAAGTTTGTAGCTTTAAAATGACTACTTGCACATCTCCATACGAGTTTTCTACAATTTATGGTGATTTTTACAAAACTGCCTATCATTTCAGACAACAATCCGGACCAGTCTGTGATTATGGACTTTTTCACCCAAGTTAGAGGTCATTAAAAATTGTGATAAAAATTATGAGCAAACTAGACACATTTTTTGAACTCTCAGAATTTACGGATCTAGTTTTTGACTTGGTATGATTTTTCTATGATTTTTCCAAAACAGGGCAGAATTGCTAAATTTTGCCAACAGCATGTAAATATCATAACACTTTGTATTATGTTGAGCAAAGTGTATAATCATAAGTTCTAATATTTGAATGTGTTTCCTTGCTAGTTTATCATTATGAACTGAAACTAAGTCATTCATATTAATATTATTCATTCATTTAGAACACGTATTATGTAACTATAAAAGTATAGTTTGATAAATTCACAACACTAATACATTTCCATAAAAGAATTCATACATATTATATACATTTTAGATGAACTATAATAGGTATAGTTTAGGATACATCACTCAACACACTTATACAAAAAGGGGTACAAATACAAAGTGCCGGGTCTCTATACAAAAAGGGGTACAAATACAAAGTGTCGGGTCTCTATACAAAAAGGGGTACAAATACAAAGTGTCGGGTCTCTATAAAGAAAGGGGGTACCGATACAAAGTACCAGGTTCACTTAAGTTAGTTATTATGATATTAAAACTATATTGCATCTAGAACTGTTAGACTTCAACTATAATCGCTGAGCGTACATGTTTGAGTCCTATAAGAATTTTGTCTCGATTGGCCTAGAATTAGTGATGCCTGCCTCATCTCCTGTTCCTTGTTTGGTTGTGGACCTAGGGCAGACCCACTATATTCAACGTTTTATCTAATTTAAACCTTATATAACTTATATACGTTGGACGATTATAGACGAACTCTACGGGTCATTCTAGGGTTCATTAATGCATCATATAGGAATATTTCTATTCACACTTAACTAAGAAAATATTGGATTTTCTGGAAATCAAACTATATCGATTTTACAAGGAAAACGGTTTCTACTTCAAACAAAACTCTTATGAACTCACCAACTTAATTGTTGACACTTTTAAAACTACTTGTATTCTCAGGAAATCAGTGAAACAGGAAAACTTCATCGCTTTGAGGATGGGACGTTAAACCGTCAACAATTTATTTTGTCATCATAATGTAATTGCTTTTGAAACATATAAACATATACTTTGGTGTAACTTTTGCAATTATATATATGGTGGTTGTTTTTACTTTGAGCACTATTATACATGTTGTTGTGATACTGTACATGAATTCCTCCACCCCCAGACGTTTCCGCCATCCTTGGTTTGGGGGTGTGACAATATTCCTCCGCATCGACGATTCCGGCGACTTACGACTTCAAATCCGGCGACAACGACGTCAAAAGATGTAATTTTCCGGCGACTTACGAGTTCAATTTCAATGTACGACTTCAATTCTGACGACATACGACTTCAATTCCAGCAGTTACGGAGCGCAATTTCCCCGATATTTTGGCCGACGGATTTGGCTCCCGTGTATTTCTCATCATCCTTTCTTTGGATTAATGTAGTATATGTATGATATTTTTCGAAACATATCTGATTAAATGGAAAATATCAGTAAAATAGACAGATTTAGATGAAATCGACGTTGACAGGTATCAAATTGGGTATGATCCATTCCGCGGAGTTGTATGTCACTCCGCGGAGGGTTACGTCAGTCTGCAGAGGACCCTCCACGGAGTGATGTATTTTCTCCACAAAAATGATAAATTGGACCTCCGCGGAGGTATTTGGTCAATCCATAGAGGGTTCTCTGCGGAATGACCTGTAGTCTCCGCGGAATGACCTGAAACTTATTTTTTCTAATTTTTTTTTTTCTGTTTTTTCTGACTTTTTATATGAAATTAAATGTTATGTTTTGCAGCACGAAGATATCAATCAAAAAGCATATTTAACTTTAAAAGGTGTGGTGGGTACTATCATTAAAATCTATTTTCCACACCTAACACAATCACAACGACAATTATTTGAAGCTTCACCATTCGGAGTATTCATAGGAATGCATATCCCACAAGGTGATTCGTTACTTGTGCATTTGATGATGTTGCACGATGTAAGGTGTCAACAAGTATTTCAAATGGGGAGGTTTCTTTTTTATATACATGGGACGCATTTGGATTTTGGTGAAACTGAATACATTCTCATTTGTGGTTTAAAATTTGGTCCTTATGATGATTTACTGCAGGACAGAAAAAGCCGGTCAAATTCAATTCTTCGTGCTCAGTTGTTCCCATACAGTTCTGATGCATGTTTGCGGTTGAAAGATTTGGAAGACTTCATTATGTCTCCGAATTATTTGGCAATTCATGATGAAGATGTTGTGAGGCTTATCCAGCTTGTTTTTATGTTGAAGGGACTCCATGGACGGGACGTTAAAACGTGCATTCTCGTTGCAGTATACAAGTTTGCTGATAATAGCGATGATTGGAACAAGTATTACATTTAAATATTGTGTATAAATACAATACAATAATAATAAATTGAAAATTGCAGGTTTGCATGGGGTACATATTTTTGGACCTATACTTCGTGGATATTGCATGAAATGTTTAAGAAAATAGAAGAATTTAGACTATTGAAGTAGGCCAATCCCGAAGCCAAGAAAGTACACAAGTATACCGTTCCTGGTGTTTTGCTTCTATTTAAGGTTAGTGTGACAACCCGATATTTCAAATCAATGTAATCACCTAAAAAGTCAAAATTTTGTAATCTCTTTTGATATAATGAAATTAGCATCGAAAATAAAATGTTCAAAATTCTCTATTGGATTGCCTAAAATGATAGTTATCATGTCAAGATTTTCAGAAATATAAAGAACATTGAAAACCGAGTCATAACGAAGAAGTTATGACCAACCAAAGATTCACAACAAAAACCGTCATTATGGTTAAACGTAATCGAGCGACTTTTGGCTGGAACGACCTAAATGAGAATCGAAGGTCTCGAGAATGGTATTTTCTACCCCAGCCTTTTGAAAATAAATAATAAAAATAATTTCAAAATTTTCCCACAGAGTCTAAACGAAAATTGTAGAGCGTAGTCTCACCTACGCGTGGATATAAAGAACGTCGAAAACGGAGTTCGTATGAAAAAAAATATGAATTTTTGAAGTTTATTAAATAATTAAAATATAAAATTTAATTTAGAACCCGGTATTATCCGAAGGATGAGTCACCGAACCGATCCGAGTTACGCCCAACGTACTCAGGTGCTAGGCCTCAGAACATCCACATTGCCCCTACGCCTCTACGCAGTCCCATCCGAAGTCCGGCAGACGAGGATGCTGTAAGCCATGACGTATGCGTACTCCCCGCGTAACCTCATACCCCCAGCGTACCGAGGGTCTTCAGCCCCCTATAAAAGGGATGCGAGGGTTCCGGGTAAAATTGATCAATTCCTCTCTTTCTCTTGCGTTTTACTCCGTTTTGTGTACAAGAAATATCCCGAAGCCCCGGTTTTCATACCCAAGCCCCGAAGGAAGTTTACGCTCCCGAGATTCACGAGAATCCCGACAAAATCCACTTTCTCGAGTCCAAGTTCTGCTCGGTTTTCGTCTCACTTTCTTCAATCTATCAAGTGAGTTCATACCCCTATAAACTACACTTTCAAATGTTTTATCAATGCTTTTTATACACTTTTAAGGGGGCGAAATACAAGTAAACACACGGTATTATCGTGTGTAACATAAAGTTTCACTATATACTCTGTTTATCAAGTTTATCATATGTGATTCATAACTAATACATGAGAACTTTCGTATGCAATATATATTCTCGATAACATCTTGTCTTTTGGAAATAAAACATGTTTATATATATATATATATATATATATATATATATACACACACACACACACACAAATCAAACACTTTATTTATACTTTAAGTATATGTGATCATTTATGTCACTATAAATGTTATACTTTACATAACAAGTCAGCATTACACTAGGGTTTACTATACGAACGAATCACACATTTTGAACAACTATAATAGGTATAGTTTATGAGAAAATCACGAACATTTACATACTAGAAACACTATATCAAAGAGATATTTTCATACCCAAGAACAGATGAACATTTTTGTACGTAAATCTGTTTTATACTAAGTTTTGTGAGACATTTCACATACTATCGAGTATGCATTTTAAGTCCTGTATTATATACCAAAATCCATTGTAGGGGGAGTGTGATACTTGTGTATAGATCTATATGGGATTGACAATCCCGCACCTAAATTGTTAGCTACAGTTAGACCGGCAGGTCTGGGGTGACAAACGTCATAACACTCCAACGCCTGAAGAACGTTGTTACAGGCAGTCTGGGTCAATAGCATGGTTGTAAAACTCACATGGAGTTATAAAAACACGTTGATTTATTCGGATATCAAATGTCTTAACAATTTTATACACATAAATCTACTACTCTAGGCATGAAAAACACTATTGCATTATAGTTTTGGAACTTTTAAACTGCCACCCACTTACGGAAAAAAGATCGGATATCTAAAAGTCAACATTCAAAATGGTCGGGTTTTAGTAGAAGACTACATTTATACTAGTAGAAAATATGGGATTTTCTAGGAGTTTTCAAACATATATAAACAAATTTATTCAAATTCATACAAACATTGACATCAAATACTTATGAACTCACCAGCTTAAATGCTGACCTACTCTTTCAAATCTACTTGTATTTCTCAGGGATTCAGTAACACAGGTAAACCCCAGCTTTTGGAGAAGTGATGCTAAGGCGTCAGTTTTAAACTCATTTTGTCATCAAATTGTAATTTGAAACAAGTATCTTATAACAATGTAACTTTTAAATTATATATATGATGGTTGTATTTACTTTCTATACTATGTATTCAATTGTTTCGATACTACATGAAGTCATCCACCCCCGAATGATTCCCCCTATCTGGTTCGGGAGTGTGATAGTTAGTTTCTAATACATTTAAATAGTTATCATAGTTTTGTTTTTATACGATAAAACATTGAACTTCGGTTTGTAGTATAAAATACCGTTGTATTATTATTTTTATACTATAATAGCATGATACTTACATTTTTTATATAGATATGGATTTTGGAGACGTTCCCCGAGGCAACCAGTTTTTATATACGCACGCCGACAGAATTGTCGCGGATGAGGTCGTGGAGAAGTAAAACACCATTATCTTGGGATAACTGTCGTTGAATAATCAATGTGTCTGTGGTATGATTTTATATTATGGATTATTTATACTTAAAAATTCCAATGTATTTACATTATAAACTAACAATTTGATTTTAATTTTTGCAGCCTAACAACCAACCTATTCGAGTCATGGCAGGCGTGACGGAGCTGATGTTGTCGTTTTATGTTCGCTACGTCAATTGGACTCTTAACCATGAAGAGTCTCCCCGACAAGAACATAGTCAGGTCTGAAATAGTCCACATGTTATTGCCTTGCCTCATCGAAGAAAGATGTACAAGTCGGAAACATGTTCGACTAAATCTGGCACAAATGCTTCTTCCTTGCAACCTCCTAAAATAGAAAGAACGTATACGTCAAGCAACACATCAATGAAGGTGGTAAAGAAGAAGAAGAATATTACCAAGGCATTAGTGAAGTGTATACTAGGCATTGTGGCTGACTTATCTTTTAAAGTAGATCGTGTACTGCAAAAAAAAAAAAGATGAGCCAAACACACATTTTGTGGAGGAGGGGGTGGAGGAGGAGGAGGAGGAGGAGGAGGAGGAGATGATCAATGAAGATGAGGAAGAAGCATATTACCATGGTAAACAGTTCGAATATGGTGGTCTTGAGGGGGAAGTTGGGCGTACACCTACGCATGGTGAGCCGTCATTGTACCTTGGGGAACATCACTCAGAAACAATGACTCCTATTGGTAGGCCGCAATGAAAGAAGGTTGTTGCATGGTATCAGCTGACTCCGTTCACAATGGTACAAAACTCATATTTTAAAATTTGGTATATTTATAAAAGATTACATTATTGATAATGATTTAACATGTTAATTTTTTAGATGCAATCAACACCAAAAGTGAAAAAAAATCAGCAAAACAAGGAAGAAAAAAATAGTGGAGAGTCCTGAAAAACAAAATGAGGACATTGTCAATGCAGAGACTAGTGATGTTTGAAACCATCTCTTGTTGGACAGTATTTATGTTGCTAGCACGATGAGTTTTTGGAAAGAATGGAGTATGATATCTTCCAAACTCATCACTTACCATAGGCTGCATATGCTCCACTAGATATAGATTTTTGCTCGAGGTTACTTGCTGTTATTCACCAAGGGTGGTTAATTTCTTCGGTAACATTCATTTAATTAAAATTTTAACTACTTTTTTAGACAAGAATTTATATAAATAACTCTAACATTTTTAATTTTAAATGTAGAACATATTGCGATATGGAGTTCCTTGCTGATGGAAAGGCAGCCGACGAACGCAAGGTGGATGATATTTCCTTATGAAATCAATTTGGAACCCGGAAAATCATTTATATTTAGGAATATAGCAAATGGGCTTGGAGGTCGTCCTAAATGGAAGGATGTGGATATGGTTAGTTAACTTTAATATATATATATATATATATATATATATATATATATATATATATATATATATAATATTACTTAAATTACTACTATCTAATTAATTTTTTTTTTGCAGGTTCTATTCGTAATAAATGTTGTTGGTACCCACTGGTTTATGGTAGTGCTACATTTTGATACCTGGAAAGTAGATATTTATGATTCAGCACGACCTATGGATTACTTCTCAAAGTACTTAACCGGTGGAAAATTCACAAGTTTTGGAGATAGTGTTATCTCAGAGTCAGATGCCATTGAGTACTGGAACTATTTCCCTGTTGGACACAAAGACAAAGCAAGGTGGATTTTATTGATGTTGTAGACGCGCCACAACAAGAATATAGTCTTGATAGAGGGGATTGTGGGGTATTTGTATGCATGTATATGGAAATGATTGTTTCGGGGGTACCAGTGAAGATTTCTACGACACGTAGAGATGCGGGATTTCTCTACAGACATAAGATGACAAATATTATTTGGGGTACTATATAGGCCCTACTATATAAGTTGATATTAGGAACTTTGTATATATATATATATATATATATATATATATATATATATATATATATATATATATATATATATATTAAATATTTGGGATACTATTTAGGCCCTACTATATAAGTTGTTTTGTTTAATATAAATATGTGTTTTATCCTATATTTTTTGAAACATAATTCACCAACATATATTACGATACATTTAAACAAAACAAACATTAGAAATAACATAATAACATTACACTTAAGATTACAAATAAAAGATGAACAACTAACAAACATTACATAAAACATCACGAATAAAAGACTCATCTACATGAGAAATGGTTTATTTTTAACCAGATTTCAAACGTATGTATACTCGAAATCAGTTTCATCAAATTAGCATAAGTAATATCCGTTCACGTATTCAAGAAGTTCATCATTGTCAGCATCAGAGCATCACATATTCTCATAACTATAGCATCGATTGAACCATGTGACTTTTGTCTTTATATCCATCCATTTACTAACAATATCGGGTTTTAGTCGTTCTTGTCCTTGTCCCACCTTAGAGTTGAACAAAGCTACTAAGCGGGACAATTCATCACCAACAAGGAAATTAAGGGGAGCCATTACCTGTAGACCCTCGTAAATGATAATCCAAGATCGTGTTAGGACCATCACCTCTATTGTCGTCCATGGAGATGTAACATTTATTGAAGCATCCGCATTAGACAGATTAGTTGCATTTGAAGAAGTTGCTACATTGGATGCCATTTTGTCAAATGATCCCTTACCTCTAATTCGGACGTATAGACACATTCATTATTATGTATAAAAAGATAGGTAATGCGGACTGACAAACAGTTATGCGGACTGACAAGTCAGTAACGCGGACTGACGAATAGTTATGCGTACTGACAAGTCAGTAACGCAGACTGACGAATAGTTATGCGGACTGACAACTCAGTAACACAGACTGACGAATAGTTACGCAGACTAACAAGTCCGTAACGCAAACTGACGAATAGCTATGCGGGCTGACAAGTCAGTAACGTGGACTGACGAATAGCTATGTGGACTGACAAACAGCTCTCTACGGAGTTTAAGGGTGTATATATTGTCATGGATGATCGTTGGATATTTGTGGATTGTCATGTCTATATAAAACGAAAAAAAATTGTGTATCACTTCATCTAATCTATTTTAGTTCATCTACTTTGTATGTTTTCCAATGGGTTCAAAACCATGGACCGCTAACGAGTATTTGCTTCTAACTCGTGCATATATTAATGTCTACGAGAACATCAATTTGTAGGATAGAATGTTTTGGGTCCTATTAACCAATACCTTCAACACTGATGCTGAAACCACCATGGAAAACCATCGCAGCACGCTTGATATAGCTGCAAAATGGTATGAATTGAAAACAAAAGTTGTGTTATTCAATGATCGTTATAATAATATTGAAGACGATCGTGTGAATGATACTGAGGAAGACATCTTGGAGGCGAATAAAGAAGAATACAAATCCATTAGCTACGGAGAGAGTTTCGAGTATGAAGCCCCTTGGAATATTTTGAAAAATGTCCCGTTTGTTAACTAGTACTGTGTTTTGTATTGCTTTTTTTATATGTAATATGGTATTTATCCTTTATGTTGTGAAACATGATTCACCAACAAATGTTACGAAACCATACATTCAAATAACATAAAAACATTTATGTGGAGTGACTATCAGTTCTGCGGACTGACAAACAGTTCTGCGGACTGACAAATAGCTCAACGTCCCACTTCTCCAGCGCGTCTGTTGTGTACCGTGCATCTCTAGTGCCAAACATGTTACGCAGACTGACAAGTAAGTATACTGATTCCTTTTAAATTGGACAAGCATTTTCATTTTTACAATGTGTCGAAAGTTGTGAAAATGAGTTCAGTCAATCAGGTATTAAGGAAAAGTTTCTCCAACCTGCCGACTTTTTTCCATAATCTGCAAAGAACCAATCCTAACACCTTCACGTACATTACAAAAGATCAGTACAATCGTTTCCAAATTTGTTTTTGTGGAATTGGATGCGTGGTATGTAATCCCGTATAGTAAATAGGTATTTAGTTATTTGAAGTTGTTATATGGCTAATATTCTTATCTTGCCTTACAGATTTGTATGTTTCTCATGTCTATGATACCAATCATATTCGTTTCTCAACTACCTCTAAGTGGGGCGTATGTAACATCCATGTGCATTGCGGTTTCTTTAGATGGAAATCATGAACCCCTTCTCATAGCGTTTGCTTTGGGAACCATAAACTCTGACAATTCATGGTTATGGTTCATCAGGAGGCTTAAAGAATGTTTAGGCGACAATACGGAAGTTGGTTTCATAAGCCATATGTTTGACTCCATAGACTTTGCAGTTCAAAGAGTCTACCCTGATTCATATCATGACTATTGTTGTAAAAATATAGCTGAGAAAATATGTGCTTCCACCAGAAGCAATATAGTCGTAGAGCAATTGTTCTGGAAGACTTGTAAAGCGTATAATATGTCTGATTTTTATGCATGATTGAACAACTTAAAAAATGAGGTTAATGAGAATGATCTTCATTGGCTTGACAATATCCCCATTGCAAAACGGGTACGAGCTTGTTTTCCAAGAGTAGGTTTCAATGTTAAATTCATTGACATTCGTGATGTTGTCAATTAGTTAAGAACAAACATGCATGAGTTTCCATTAACATCAATAATTGAAATGGTCCATGACTCGATGCAAGCAATGTATCTTCAACATGCTGCGTTTGGAGGTAGTTATAAGTTATGACATAACTTAAATGGTCAATTGATATATTATTATACGTTATGACATCATAATTTTTTTTTTTATTCAGTTCATTTCACAGGGGATTTTCATGGTCATCTAACCCCTTAAGCTATTAAGGTGATTCATAAAAGATTTATCCAATCGGATAGTTGTAGGATTACGTATATTGTTGGCGATAGATATGAAGTGAATAAGTATTCAACAACCGAATCTGTCAGATTAGACCGTGGTATATGTAGTAGCGGTAAATGGCAAAAATGTGGTATACCTTGTGAGCATGCTATAGCTTCACTACAAAGGCTTGAAATTGCATAAATCCAGCAAATGGTAAATTTAAAGTTAAGTACCGCGGTGTATCGAAATGGTTATCAAACTTAGATGGTCAATCCTATTCCAACCCTGTCACACCCCCGAACCAGACGGCGGAAACATCCCGGGGGCTGTTGTGACTCAATTGAATACCATCACAATGAATATACATGAAACATAACATCATACATCACCAAGCATTGGAATAATACAACTGGTAGCGTTTACATTTAGTACATTGTTCCCTAACATTACATGCCCAAAAAGTAGATTGTTCGGTACTAATTTAACAAGCAGCAAAACGTCACTGAGTACACTTATCCCTTCGACTTATCTGTTACCTGAGAATACAAGTATTTTGAAAAACGTCAACATATGAAATGTTGGTGAGTTCATAAGTAATGTTTGAAATCCAATGTTTGTATCGTTTCGAAAACCACCAGAAACTCCGATATTTTCTGAAAATAGTATGGTAAAAAAAATGTGAAGATCCGTAAGTATGCTTGTTTGTTTTCTATAGATGCAAGCGTAGAGGTTGTAAAATTCGGCATGGAATTTGTAAGTGTATTAGTTGAAAACCCTAGGAAAACCCAACGTTTTCCTATCACTTTGCTTTACTTAGTTTGTGTACTGTTATTTCGTTGCGTTAGAGGTATTCGTTGAGCTCCGGAGGCATTGAGTATACAGTGGGTGGTGAATTGTTGTGACGTCCGTTGATGAAAACCTCCAGTCGACAACCTTACAAGTGATCCCTTAGGCGTCACTCGCAGTTATTCACACAACTCAATCCTCCCGGACTTGTGTAGTCCCACGACCGGAGGGAAGGAGAGAAGGTGCGAAACCCTCGGTATTTCCCCGCGTCGTTCAAGACCATTGCAATTGCGAAGGGCCCGAAGCCCAACCCGCAATCGTGAGTTATCGACTTTACTAGCAGCACTGAAGGACCCTTGGGGACCAGCAGCATGTTTGCCATTGAAAGTCCTTTTACGTTATGTCGGATCGGTAAAACCCAACACTTTGTAAGAGAGAGGTCTTCGGGCCTTAAGATCAGGTCATTGGGCTAGCTAGGCTCAACAAACAAGATTTTACACTTTGGGGCCCAAAGATGGTGCATAGACGTCTGTGCACACTCGCATGTATAGTGACTTCCCAATCGTTATTAGTTATGAATCGTAATGTCGTAATGTCATAGTGTCGTCGTGTTAGTAGTTTCGGATTTTTATTGGTTCGAGACCGAACCAATTCGTTTGACAACGACTTTTGGTATTGTAATGTATTGTATTTCGTCGATAGTCGTGGTACCATCATTTGGTCAAATTGCATGTATTGAACTAGCCTTGAGAATTTTCTGTTTTCAGTCCCTCTTTGATTGTAAAATTTACTTTTTCAACCCCTTTATTTAAATACTTTACGGTTTGGTACTTAAATCAATTTTCTTAACATTTTAATACCAAAAATTTTTGAAATAAATATTTTCCATCATATTTTTCATAGAAAACAGCTTAAGCCCCTGAAATTTCAGTTTTCTCGGTTATAACCCATCCTTTTCACAAGTTTGACAATTTTGGCCCAAATTGTAAAATTTTTGCAACTTTAGTCCCCTTTAAATTTAAAAAGCATTTTAAACCTTTGAAAAGGACTTGGAACACTTATAGTCCACTGTTTTACAGAAAAATACAGTTTTGGTCCTCCAAAACAGAAAATTTCGCATAATGGGCCTCATTGGGCCGAAAATGTCATTTTTAGCCCATTAAGCTTGGAATTTATGTTTTTAACCCTCCAAATGGTATATTTTCAGAAAACACATTATGTAAACTGTTTTGACTCATCTCACCCATCAGATTTCGAAATATTTCATTTTAGACCCTTCAACTTTGTATTTTTAACATTTTATGTCAAAAAAAT